GCAAGAGAGAAGAATCCTTCTACAGAAAATCAGACAGAAGGTGGAGTCTTAGAGGGGACTACAGAGTAGGTAAGACCCCCAGGCTGTACCTTCTCCAGCTACCACATATTTTGAAAACCAGCAGGTCTTGCAGGGCCCTGGTCATTTAGACTTTGTCTGTGAAGCTGACTATTTTGACTACAGGAGTCACACTCCAAACTGAAGGAGCACATAGGTAGGAAGTAGCTTGAGGCAGTGGACTTAGACACTACAGCGAGGACCTTGCTGAAGTTACATCCCACAGGGCCCTGGGCTGGGATCTGATGGAGAAGACGGGCCCAGGTCCCCCTACCATGCCCCGCTTAAGAGCAAAGGCCCAGATGCTGATCGGACACCCAAAAACTCCCGGCTTGGGATCAGGAACCAGGCACTGTTACTGCCCCCCTGATAGAGAGACAAGGAGTTGGAAGTCAAGTGCACTAACCACTAGGCCCCTTAGCCCTCCAATCCCTCTATCACAGACAGCTTCAGTAAGAAAATCCAAATTGGCTGCTGTCCTTATTTGGTAATTCTCAGCTCCTTACTTCCTTTCAAAGGCCTTAGGGTCAGATCCTCTGCTGGTATAAACCAGCAGAGCTAAATTGAATTCAGCCATCATTGATTTATACCAGCTGAGGATTTGGTGCCTTAATGGTTTTTCATCACTGATTTGGAGGGAAAGGAAGTAGTGAAAAATCAATTTGACTTAATTTTAACTTTCTAACCTGTAGTGCTCTTCAGTTCTTCCCCGTCTGATTTTCTTTCAGCGTCCTGCAGATTTCCAGCCTTTTCCTGTAATTTCTCTGCTCTCCTTATCCTCTGTTCTCTGCTGCATCCATTGCCTGAGGAACTCTGTCTTCCTTCCTCAGTACCTTTCTATCCCATTCTTTTCAGCTTGTTATTCATATTCTCTCTCTCTCTTTCTCTCTCTCTCTGTTATTATTTCATCCCTTCAGCATGATGCTGGTGGCTCCTACCTCATAACCATTTTCAAATCTCTTTCAAGAGCACTGGAGGGGATTGCGATCAAAATGAGCAATGGAAGTGTATGTATGTTTATGCTGTGTTTTTTCTTTTTAATCTCATTTCTGTACCCCCTGCCATCCGGACTGCTTCCTTTCTGATTGGTTGCATCTGAGCCTCTCGACTCCCTTCATAACTAAATGTAGTATCTAATGCTCTCTGTCACTTAATGTCTGCTACCTCACAGGACACTTCCATTAAAAATACATCAGCAGAAAGGAAAACAAATAGAATTCATTTGCTTACAATGTAATAAATTCCCCTTGTGCCATATAGTATAATTTTGTTCTCAATTGGTCTTCGTTGTGCTTTCTTCTTCTCCAAAAGCAAAACTTGTACCATTTACAGTCTTTCTTGAGAGCAGTTAAGCAGCCACTATATAGGCAGGCAGATTTTGGGGCCAGAGAACTAAATACAAGAAGTGGCAACAACTGATGAGGAAGAGATATGTATGTGTGTGTTCTAGGTATGATCATGGAGAGATTAGGGTGACCAGGTGTCTGGTTTTCAACTGGAACACCCAGTCAAGAAGGGATCCTGGCAGCTCTGGTCAGCACCGCTGACTGCGCAGTTGACTGTCTGGTTGGCAGCGCTGTGCAGCAGGGCTGGCAGACACCCTGCTAGCCTCTGCACGGCTCCTGGGAAGCAGACGGCATGTCTTCCCCCCCCGGCTCCTATACGTAGGGGCAGTCAGGGGGCTCTGTCCCCACCCCAAGTGCCACCCATGCAGCTCCAATTGGCCAGGAACTGCTGCCAAAGGGAGCTGTGGGGGCGGTGCCTGCAAATGGGGCAGCACGCAGGGCCGCCTGGACGTGCCTCCGCATAGGAGCCGGAGGGTGGTCATGCCGCTGCTTCTGGGAGATACTTAAGGTAAGCGCCGCCTGGAGCCTGCACCCCTGAGCCCCCCGCCATGCCCCAGCCCCCTGCCTGAGCCCTGAGCCCTCTCCTGCCCTGCAAACCCCTCAATCCCAGCCCGGAGCACCATCCTGCACCCCAAATCCCTCATCCCCAGCTCTACTCCAGAACTCGTACCCCCCAGCCAGAGCCCTCACTCCCCTTGCCCCCCAGAGCTTCAACCCCTTGCCCCAACCCTGATCCCTCTCATGCCCTCCAAAGTCCTCAGTCCCAGTCTGGAACACCCTTCCTGCACCCAAAACCTCTCATCCCCAGCCCCACCCCATAGCCTGCACCCCCCAGCCATAGGCCTCACCCCCCCAAACCCCCGGCCCCAGTCCAGAGCCCCTTCATGCGCCCCAAATCCCTCATCCCCCACCCAACATCAGAGCCCACACCCCCAGCCATAACTCTCATACTCTCACACCACAGCCCCTTGAGCCAGCCTGGTGAAAATAAGCAAGTGAGTGAGGATGGGGAGAGTCAGCAACAGAGGTGGGGGAACAAGTGGGGCCTCAGAGAAGGGGTGGGGCATGGGTGGGGAATTGGAGGAGGGGAGGGGCAGTGGGCAAGGCAAGGGTATTCGGTTTTGTTTGAGTAGAAAGTTGGCAACCCTAGGAGATATATACACACGTATCCCCCAAACTACTAACTTCAGTGGAGTTACTCTACATCAGGGGTTACCAAACTTGGTTCGCGGCTTGTTCAGGGTAAGCCCCTGGCAGGCTGCAAGATGCTTTCTTTACCTGAGCGTCCACAGGTACAGCTGCTTGCAGCTCCCAGTGGCTGCAGTTTGCCTTTCCCAGTCAATGGGAAGTGGTGGCCAGGCCCGCGCTGCTTCCCACAGCTCCCGTTGGCCGGGAATGGTGAACTGCAGCCACTGGGAGCTGCACGCGGCTGTACCTGCGGATGCTGAGGTAAACAAAGCGTCTTGCGACCTCCCAGGGGCTTACCCTGAACAAGCCACAGACTAAGTTTGGGAACCCCTGATCTACATTTATATAGGTGTACGTGAGGGCAGAATTTAGCCCAAATTCTTCAATTGATCTGGGTCCCGCAACTTTCTCAGAAGGATCTCTGAAATTCAAAGATGTGAGTGGGAATGACTATGGGACATTCCTAGTCCAGTGTCCACTCCAAATAGGCCCTGAAAGGGAATGAGCTGATTTTGTTCTTCAATCCACTATGGAATTATTCTGAAGTTTCTGATAACAGGGAGCTATTCAGATGTATAAATCTAGAGTAACCTAGTAAATTCAATGAGCATTCTCTGGATTTGCACCCATATAAATATGAGAGACCAGCTTTTACTTTGGAAGAATCCTTAAACTTTATTGTCCATGCTAAAGAGTTACCTAATATTGGAACTTTGATTCAGTTTTGATTGTGAGCTCCTTTCTGTAGTTGGGGGAGAGAGTCTGAATTGATTGGCAGGGTGAATGTAAAGAAATACGTTCCAGTTTGCTAGCTGCTTAGGATTTGTTCTTGTGAGTAAAGAAAAGGGACAAAAAATGCCTGGCAGTTTGAGGCAATGGGCTTGTTTAATAGCTCAGTAGAGCAGTGCTTCTCAAAGTCGGGCCGCCGCTTGTTCAGGGAAAGTCCTGGTGGTCCAGGCCGGTTTGTTTACCTGCCACGTCCGCAGGTTCGCCCGATCGCGGCTCCCACTGGCCGTGGTTCACCGCTCCAGGCCAATGGGGGCTGCGGGAAGCAGCGCGGGCCAAGGGATGTGCTGGCCGCCCTTCCCGCAGCCCCCATTGGCCTGGAGTGGCGAACCGCGGCCAGTGGGAGCAGCGATCGGCTGAACCTGCAGACGTGGCAGGTAAACAAACCGGCCTGAACCACCAGGGGCTTTTCCTGAACTACCAGCGGACTGGCTTTGAGAAGCACTGCAGTAGAGGACTGGGCCACCTATGTCAAAAAGCTGGCATAGTATGCAAGATCTAATGATATACGTGACTTGAAAGAGGTTGCAGTTTTACTGACTATAATGGTGACTAAACCTATAACCTGCTGTGTAACTTAACATTTGCTGACATGGAAATGCCACAAAATCATCTAACTCCAGAGCCACCAGAACATAACAGAGCAGCAGGGTGCATATGTAGCAAGGCCTTGTATGCTTATATATAGTTAGCAAACATTGTTATTTGGAACCCAACTGTGTCCAGGTGGATTTCTCATATTCTTGATACAATAAAAGCAGTGTTATCCAGCACCTTACCAATCAGAAAGCTCTAGAAAATGGCATTTCTGATATCAACCAATACAAATTAAAAGTCCAGTTGGTGCTGGGCCGGCAGAATACCTACCTGGCTCAGTGTAGCTCCCCAGAAGCAGCGACATGTCCCTGCTGCTCCTAGGTGGAGGAACAGCCACAGGGGCTCTGTGCGCTGCCCCACTCCGAGTACTGGCTCTGCAGCTCCCATTGGCCGGGAGCAGTGGCCAATGGGAGCTGCGGGGGCAGTGCCTGCAGGTGGATCAGCAAGGACGTGTTGCTGCTTCGGGGGAGCTGCCCACGGTGAGCACCACCCAGATCCAGCACCCCAAAACTCCTCCCATGCTCCAACCACCTGCCCCGATCCCCCTCCCGCACCCAAACTCCATTGGTAAGTATAACTCTTAGTTAACCAGAATTTTGATAACCTGCAGCCTCCATTCTCCCAATATGCCAGATACCAAAGCTTTTACTGTATTGTGTACAGAGGAAAGACACAACAGTTCTACTCAGGCAAGAGATCCTATCTTCCATGTATAAATGTTTACACTAATATAAATCTACAGCAACTCCACTAACTTCAGTGAAGTTACTCTGCATTTACACTGGTTTAACTGAAAGAGAATTTGACCCCATCCCTAGAAATTTGCTTTCGAGTAAAAAGCTACTTTGGAGCTCACAGACAAGATTGCTGGTCTGTTTAATCTTAATCTACCACTGACTTTTTCTGTGTGCATCGGTATGAAGGGTACATTTGTGAGGACAGGAAGGGGCTGGCCAGTTTTTTCTAGAGAAGACCTAAAGGAAGGCAGAGACAAAGAGAAAAATTATGTGTGACTGGAAGCCTTACTGTGAGCAATGTTTCATTGCTATCATGACTCAGGATGGCAGGTTCTGTTTTATAAGTCTTGTCATATCTCATCTAGTTTTAAAGCACCTCTTCCTCTGAATTTCAGCTCAGTGAAGTTCTTCAGATTCCATATGTTATATGCAGCACCTAGAACAAGAAAGATTAATTGAAACATTGCAATCTCCTTACAATTGTCAGTGACAGGGCAATTTCCTATGGAACATATTAAACAATGGGGAATCTTTTTCTTGACATGCTATAAAATCTGGATATTTTAATTCTAATATGTACATTGCTGGTGTATATTGTTTTTCTAGCCAGATGTAAAACATGAGGTCTTGACTAATGCTGGGCCAACTTCGTAAAGATTCAGTTTGGGTTAAAGAAAGCATGCAAAAGTATAGAAAAACATCTCTTAACTTCTCGAGGATGCAAAATTGGCCTGGAAATCTCCCAGAAGCAGCCCCTTTCATGAGATTTCTCCTGTATTTTAACTCTTGTGTTGTGTGTGGTTATTCTGTTGCACATAGTGTAGCCTAATGCAAAATTGTGTTTTCACCTAGTGCTGCAGTATTACAGGGTTACCGAAAGGAACAGTATACGCTTTCACAAACTCTCCATACTCTTAGTCTATTCATATAATTGTGAATATGAGTTATACATGTGGCTAAAGGGGCGAATGGACCCCCATAGTGTTCTATTGATGAAAAAAGATCTGGAGCCTACTGACTCGAAAAATGTGCTAATGGATTTTAATGCTGATGCTGCAGTTACTGTTTTTTTAACTAATATTAGGATTCAGACCAGTTAAAGATGATTTCATTGAGAACATTTTGCCAAAGTAAATCTTCCTTAAAATATAATGCTTGCTAGGACACACTGAGACTCAAATTTGTGCCTGGGAGAATGCAATTATTTGGTCAAGGCTATGTAATAAGTACTGCATAGTGGGGTCTGGTAGCACTGCTCCTGGTGAAGACTGTTAGTCTTTCTGTTCTAATATATTCCACTATTTTACCACTTGGCATATAAGGTGTTAGCCTGAAATATTTTTTTTCTTTCAAATTTTCTAAAGAGAGTCTATCTTGATGACCAACTGTAAAACCCATAACGAGTACAGCACATTTTATATTTTATAAATTTAAAAAGTTGTTCCCTTTAAGCACAACAGGCCTGATTCTGATTTCACTTACACTGGTGTAACTCAGGATTTAAATCCACTGAAGTCAATGAAATTATGTGAGTGTTAATCTCATGTCCATAAGGTCAGAATCAGACCCACTATATATCTGTCATTTCTTACATAGGCAAAACTCCCATTGACTATGAAACTCAGTTCTGGCTTGGGCTTACATTTAGCCTTGGGCTTTCTGGACTCCAAGGCCATTAAACTTTCAGTAAGTTTTGACTTTTTTTAATGACAATCTTGCACAGCTTTTAGAGGGAGTGTTGAACAGGAAACTAGGATGCAATGAGACGTATACCATGACAGAGACAGTGAGCAGAAATGGGCCATGGAAACCTTCTTAGTGTAACAGTCCTATCTCAAGGACAGTACATTTGAAAGGCTGCATGTTCCCTAATACTGCATTGCAGTGGAAAAAGTGGATATGATTCCAAGACCTGTGCTTAGACCTTTTGAATGAAACCACTTGGAAAAAGATAATACAAGTGTTTTAAATATGTGAACGAATCATCATGTAGGCAAACAGCTGTAGTTTGTCTAGTGGTTAATGCAGGGGACTTAATTAGTTAATGTGAATTATGCACTAGCTAGGTTATATAATTCATAGCCATTAATTTATTTGAAGATTTTTACCTTAAGAATTGGCACAAATCTAGCCTTTTGTGGTCGATTCTGTTCAAGGGTTAGAGTTTTCTTCATTATTCAGAATTATATCTTTAGTAAATAATGCTTAATCAGTAGCTTGCTTGTGAGCTGCCAATAGTGAATATGCAGTATCTGTGCTTAAAGTTAAGCATGTGTTTATTTTGTTCACTGAATCAGTATTGCTTGCTGAATTGGGGCCTATGTAAACTGTGGGATAATTTTGATTGGACACAGAGGTCACAATGATGTTTTGTTTCCCTGTTTGGATGAGTGTAAAGTGTTAAGCTTGGATTTCTCCTAAAATAATTCAGTTAATAGCTCAGAATTCTTTCTGCAAATATTCTCCAATAGGTGCTTAAAATTTCCTCTTCCTATGAATGTTTCTGGCAATAAACACATTCACTAGAATAGTCACGGAAAGCGACTATACTATGGACACAAGCACTGCTGAAACAGACTTCTTGACAATTTGAACAATTATATATGGAGAATTTTGTGCACTAGTTTCCTAGTTCTAATCTGAAATCAAGAGGAGTCTTGGTTCTCTTCCCAATTCTGCTACCAATTTGCTTTATGACCATGGGCAGTCACTTCATCTTTATTCATGTATAGAATGGGTCAAATAATACGTAAGAACTTCACAAAGACTTAGTTCACTAATTAGAATAATAATCTCACATATCACTGTGAGGTAACTGTTGGCAAATACTGACTTTTTACTTGTAATTACTGTAGCATATGTGTGACAATGCCTAGATACAATGAAGAGCGAGTGTAGAAGAGTTTTAGCCCTTGTCTGAACTGCTGTGCTCTTGAGGGCTGAAATCAGATGCTTAGCCATGTTGGAACACAACACTGAAGAGTTTAATGCACATTAGCACTTCAATAACCTCAAAAGGGCTCAACTAACTGTCGCACAGATGCTAACAACTTACAGGCTCAGAGAGTCTTTCATGATACAACACTGTTTTAGAGTCCTTCTTAGTGTAACAAAACCCATAGCAATCAAAGGCTATGATTTTCTAAAGTGCATTGCTTAAGAAGAAACTCCAAACAGTCTGCTGAGCAAGGTATTCACAGACAGATCTGGCAGAAGTTCAAGTAACTTTGAATACTAGCGCTTCTATTGCCTACCTGTAGAGAACAGTGTCTTTCTCCAGATGAGATTGTTGTGCTAACAAGTTGGGAAGCTGGCCCAGATCCAAATTAAACATCCCCTGAAGACCTCATGTTTGGCATCTGCATTATACCAAAAACCAAGAGGAGGAAAAAAATAAACTAGGGGAATCCCATGATCCTTTTGAGATCTGACAGAGCTTGATAAAACCCATGGCCTGCCTGTTTTACTGCAGTAAGTGTTAGCCAGAACACTTGACAGTGGGGGAATCAAAGACATTGTTCCCAAAGGTGAATGGGCCTGGCCAATTTCCCTGGTCTGAACTGGGAATAACTGCACAGCAAAGGCCTGCTTAAGATTTTTCTTTTGCCATTTATGTGATTATATATTTAGAACTCTATTAACAGGGACACTAATTCACTGGAATGAAATGATCCAATTTTACACTTTTGAATTTATGGATGCTGCCAGCGATTGCAAGCTTAGTCACAGGATTTACTGAGCAGACTGTCATTCAATCATTTATTTTTGGTGGCGCTTGGGTGTGGGGGTGCTGGTGGATGTGGCAAGGTTAAATCTATATATTCAATAATAGATCAGTTTGTACAAGTCCTGCCTGATTGCGCTGAACATCTCAGCTGCCAGGGGAATGCCAGGGTAGAGAACCCATACCAGGCCTAGCAAAAGCTCATTAAGGGGAAGAGAACCTGTTTAAAAGGAGGGTTAAAATGAATAATTAGGGGTGGGAGAAGAAGAAAAAGGTGTATATAAGAGGTCCCCACTTTACTTGGCCCAGACTGGTTTTGAAACATCAACCATCCTTGCTTTCAAGCAACAGAAATCTTGACACTTTATGGACATAGGTCCTCTGCCTTCTTCAAACACAGCAGAAAGTGAAGGGGGAGCCACTACAGAAAACTTTCAGGCATTGACAGCTTCAGGCTGAACCTCATGGGTGAAACTATCTGGATATGGGATCAAAGCATATTTGAGAGAAGTGGCAACTGTAGTCCAAAATTTTAGGTATCCCTGTCACTCACCTTAGCTCTACGTACATTTATTATTTAAGGACACTTTTGAAAGTGATTATTCATACTATATTGTGTTGTGACAAGCCACTTTAAGTAGTTTTTTTCCTGCTCTTGCTGCTTTAGACCTCTCTACATAGCCATGGGTAACAGAACAACTAACCAAAAGAATACCTCATGTGTAAGAGATTTAGTATTAAATTTTTGTATTAAATTTGAGTGGTGCATAGCATTAGGATGGAGATGCAAGTGTTTTACTCTGGTTTTATATTTTCTTTTTCTTTCGTTGGACAATGTTCAAGATGTTCTAGTGGTAGAATCTCTATTGTGTGACGGATCTGTGTCAAAAATTGAAATCACAGTTTCCATGGCACAAATGGAAGATGGATTCTGAAATAGAACACCAAGGTGTGTGTGTGTATATAGTCATAAATGGAGACACATCTGTAGGTCTCCAAACTTGTGTGACTATCAATAGAGTGGATTGGAAACCTATCCAGTAGTTTCTTCAGTGGCACAGCTGGTTAATTTCATGCTTAATTCTCTTCTGTACCCAGATGCCAACCTTCGTCAGTGCCTTGCAAATAGACAGCAGCTATTCTTTGTTGCATAAGCTCATTGCTGAAAATCAGTGCTTCTCTATCAACTTACCCTGCTGCACCTGTGCTGACAAATGGCTCCATCCCTCAGAACAGCTACCCTCCAGAAATATTTATGTTGGTGTTTACTAGGTCTGCAATCATGCGTTTCTTGCAGGCTGCACTTGGTTGTGGATTCTAATATCACTGCACTGTTAAGAAGGATGAACTGGAGGCTTCAAGAAACTGGGATACGTCCTTTTCTCCTCAAGGTCACTGGAGCCATGTGACAGGAGTTAGATTTCCTATGTAAAAAGGGTTGATGCTGTCAATCTGTCTCTCACACATACACACACAATACATTACCACAGTTAGTACAAATGGGGAAAAAGGGAATGAAGGCAGAATTTTATGGCCAGATCCTCAGCTGGTGTAAATTGGCACAGTCTCATTGACTTTGATAGAGCAATGTCAGCTTATACAAGCTGAGGATCTAGCTCATAATGTGCATACAACATTATGCAACAACTGGACAGTATGTAAAAAATGCATTTTTTTCTGTGAGGGTTAATTGTATTTTCTCTATAGCCATCCAAAAATCCAGACAGTGCACTTCACCTGCTTACTCATTACAGCTTATTTATGTAATGTGGCCATCAAAATGCTCTTTAACATTCCAAAGAATGAGCTCCCACTGAACTTTGAAGTGAAAACAGAGACATCACTCAGATGTCTAGGCGGAGACAATATCCAAGAGGGGTTCAAAAGGGGCTCTGAATATCAAAGGCACAAATGCAGATAGACAGTGTATTTCGACCCTCGGTTTACGGCTTTTGAAGCCAAAGGATCCAGATTTAATTTTCAGGCTCTCATGGATTAACTGTTAGTGGCTTTTGTTTCTAAGGAAAGATTAACCTTTCATGTGATATAGGGATGATTCTTTTTCAGATATTGATTCATCTAAAGACCCATAGGATTCAAAACATGCTGATTTAAAACAGCATCAGAGCAATCTGTGGAAATGACTCCACAGAGAAATCAATGCTGTCGTGAAATGATGGCTTTAATTAAACTCACCTTTGTAAAACATTTTGCAGTTGCTCAGATGAAAGGAACTTCTTCTTAACATATGTGCAATGTGCCTTAGGTGACACATGGCCAGGATTCATCACCGAATTTGGTCTGCTGGTTGGATCATTAGCTTACCCAGCCTGGGCCAGGTACTGACAGGGAGTGCGACATGAATGCTGATCCATGCCCCCCATGAAAGGAACTATGTAAGTGCAAAGGATCTGGATATAGATATGTACAATAGTGTAACAAATCTATATGGCTAGATAGTGACAACTGTGAAGTTCCTGTGTTGCACACTCTGGTCACTCAATTCTTCCCAACAACCTCAGTGATAGAACACATATCCTCCCGTTTCAAAGGTACATGCTTCCTTATCTGGCTAGAGTAGACTCTCCATTAGCTGTTAACAATGTAGGGCCTATGACACACGACTGTGCAATTATGGTTCCCTCCAGTGGAGGGCAGTATTACACATGCACAGCAGCTTGTGCATTAGTGTTTTTTAAATATAGGAAATGTGCTGTGGTATGAACTGATGGTTTTATCAGTATTAATTTAGGATGGCTGCATTACTCATAACTGCAGTTAATCTCAAATTCATGCTAATCAAAGCTTTATACCACAACACACTATCATATATTTTGCATAGTAAGCAGTGCAAATGTTTTAGGGAGTTGTAAAATCTATTTGGGGGGAATTTCTTCCTCTTCTTTTTTTAACCTGCCTTTATCAAAAAAGATGTTTTAGTTTTCAAGAATTCCCACAGTTTTACAGGGCTTAAAACCCTATATGGTATCTTGGGACTTTTAAGGCTAGAAGCAAGTGCTTGTGTCTCACTGGAAATTTCCATTTTCCAAAGCTGTAAAATTCCCTTAGATCCCTTTGCCCATTAATAAGATACTGGGCCTTAAACTTGTCCTTGGTGCAGAATGGAATATTGCCTGTCCTAGGTCTTGGGACAGGGTAATTTTAGTCAGAGCAGGACATTTGTTCTTGGCATGTTGATTTAGAAAATAAAATTGAAGTTTGGAAGCTCCACAGAGGTTTGGAATGTAAGACTAAGCCCTGGGGGAGATGGATTAGTGGGCAGAGTGCAGGAGATGTGGTCAAAAGTGCACAATAAATGCAATTTATCATCTGGCTCTGCAGTTTATCACATCTCTGCCTGACTGTCTCTGAGGTTCTGATCCTGAACTGTGAAAGTCAATAGGACTTTTAAGATTGACTCGAATAGGAGCAAGAGCAGGTCCTTTCTGGCTACGTACTGACCTAATGCTGTCTAAGTGTATGTATTTATACAATGCATATAAACCAAGTTTGCTAGCTACTTCTTCTCCTTTGCTGTTTCAGGACTTCTCTCTACAGTGTGTACTATTTTAAATCCACAAAAGATTTTTTTAATGTATTTTCAGCCATCAGAAAAACTTCCCAATTCACTTCTAAAACTAATCGAGTGGAAGATTCAGAAGTACTTGGAAGGAGTCTCATGGACTTGTTTAAAAGTCTGTGCCATTATTGATGAATCCAGGCATCAGATTTTCATAAGTGCGAGCATAGCTGAAAATAAAATATTCACAAATTAGCCTTATTTGCATCAGATGTTATTGCTTACATCAGCACATACCTTATCTTCAGCAAAAGGACAGGAACCAAAATAAATTCAAACTTGATCAGTGAAATGAGGGTCAATGAAAACTGGTTCCAAAATCCACAAAGACCCCCGCCCTCCATTGTGTTTAAATACCTCTCCATAGTGTATATTTTAAAACAGAAAGGCAAACAAACACCCTCCATCCCTTAGTCACTGACTGCTTATGCCCTATAAGCCCCTGATCCAAAGGATTTAGCAAGCAATTCTAAGAATAGAAAAGTAAATAAACAAACAGGGGAAGAAGATTTACGAAGAATAAAAGGAGACAAAAAATCTTCTTGCTGTGTAAGCAAGTGTGATTTGAAAACTCCATTCCTGATTGCAGCAAAGGCAACTCTTCTCTCCATCATCTAATACCATATTCCATTTTGCCAGCCTTTTTTATCCTCTTTTTCAGCAGCCGGTGTGAGAAGAGACTTGATTCAGCCATGATTAGCCCTCAACCACAGGGAGCTTTCGAAGCATTACCAAATAAATATTTATTAAATCGTACTTTCAGAAAAATGTAGAAGAAAATTGGCTTGAGCTGACTGATGAAAAATCCCATTTTCCCTATGAAGCGGGGTAGGGGGAGAAGTGAGTTTTTTTTAGTATTCAGGCAGTAGAGCAGCCATCCAGAACTATTGCCCAGAAGAACCTCTTGTTAGTCACCGATATGCGTTTCCATTCAGAAATATATAGAAATTTTAGCACGACTTTTCTTTAATATAGGTTTAATCACTTTACACCTAGACCAGTCAGATTTAAACCTGCTGGTAACAAGCCTATGAAAGATAGTGGATTTTTCATTTCATTTTATTATCCCTAATTATTAGGAACACACAGTGTATGCCTACACTGTAAAGAAAAACCCCTGGCACCGAATCTCGGAGTGCAATTCAAATGACTTGGGCTTACAGGGCTCAGGCTGCAGGGCTAAAAATAGCTGTCCCCGATTCTTTAGAAGAAACTCTCCTAAAATGTGTTTGGCCTGATTCTCCTAAATTCCTCCTGTGCAATTGTTACCTGGCGTTCTTGCAACCCAAAGCTCTTGGTAACTTTTATTCTGTGCGAGGAGGTGTCAGGAAATAAATCAGGGGAGACCCGGCTGTCCGACCAATAGATGGCTGGCACAAACAGGACAACGCAAGAGTGCTTTCACTTAAAGCTACACTTTACTTAATCTCAAGCACTTACACACGTCCACAACAGGTTAGTAAAACACCCCCAACCCTCGATAATTACCAAAGCTGAATGTGGCTCTCGAGTGGCACAGTGGCAGCCCATCTGCCGGTGGGGAACACAAGATGCATCCAGAGGGAGAGACCAGTCCCGAAGAGTCCCCCCATCTCAAGCTTTTTCCCCTAATTTATACATTAGTAATACAATGACATGTCCCTTAAAGAAAACTTGTCAAGCAAGCAGTTCCACTGGGTAAGCAAGAGGCTCTTTTTGATTATTGATTAACCAGGTGTGGGTCTTTCCAGAGTCTGCAGCCTTGAGACCCCAATAGACATTCCTGCTCTTTTAAAATGCATGTATCAGCAACTTCAACATAATTCTTATCAGGATTAAGGTGCCCTTTCCGTGGCACCCAAAACCCCCTCCCGTCCTGCCTTGGTCAAGCTGAGATTGCTGAATGGCCAATTTACAGCTTGCTGACTAAGTTGCTTTTTAATAATAAGCCATAGTGGTTTTAGGCACTTTACTGGTTTGCCAAAGTCTCCCCGTACACAATGAAATGTCTGTGCATGGAAGAGACTCCACCCCAGCCCTTTTTCAAGGTTAAGAAAGAATTAATTTCAATCCTGACACCTTCATATGATCATTTTCTGCCCCAAGGTATGAAATCTGATTTCTCTTAATGTAGTTTAACTGCAAATGTCATCAATGGTCATAATATTGTAGCCACCTTCTGGTTCTTCATCCAGCCACAGTAAGTTGCTTGTTAAATCAACTCCTGAGTTTCTCTGAGCCTCTTTGCCATTCTTTCTCAGCTTCTTTTTTTCCCCTGGCCTTTCATTGAACTGTTAGAAATATGGGGAGGAGGAGAAGAGGTGATGATGATGGGCGGAGAATAGGTCCAGAATAATCAGTTTCAAAAATAACAAAATGCTTCACTGGCATAAAGTATGTATTGTAAAGATCTTGCTCTTAAGGGACCTTTGTCTGAGGCTCTGGAGTCTCCTTCTGTATTGCTTAATTGGAATCAAAATTAGCAGTGGGGAAGCCTGCATCTTATCAGCATGATCAGGACAAAGCCATTGGTGTTGTGGGCAGATTCACAAAAGGAAGAACTGTGGCCTGTGGTGGGAAGATAATGTTGAAATGATACATAAGGACAAAAACTAAATGATTTAGATATAAAATAATCATAACATATTTTTAAAAGAGCCAGCTGAATTCTGAGACTGGCTAGATTTTGCTGATTAAAAATGGACTGTTCTGACTCAGTTCTGATCCCAGCACAAAGGATTTATCATAATGAATGTGTGGGCAAACCTAAAAATGTTCTGATGCACAGGAGGAAATTACTTTCCAAACTCCAGCTCAGAGAAGTCTTTTGCTCAATATAATCTTTAAATAGTTTCCCCTTATAGTGCTTTCTTTTCATATTCAAAGGAGATGCCAAGGCTTCATGGAAAACTTTAACAAGTGTATTGATATATATCTTCTCTTTTTTTCACAATTAAATAAACGTACGGCTGGTGAATGGTATCATATTAACACCCTGGACAGTAACATTCTTTATTTATTCATTAAATAGGTACAGCACAAGCAATAGCAGCACACACTTTCCTTCACATACATACACCAATCCTGGCCAATTTCTCAGCCCTATCCTGGAGGGTAGTTGTGATAACCAGGCCTGTAGATTCACCCTAATTGTAAACTTAACTGTGAAAAGTGAGTGAAAGTTCATAAAATGTCACAATAACCTATAACAACAAATGCTCATGGGAAAAGATACAAAATGGAGAGAGAAATACTGAATTAGTGTAAAAGAAAAGCCCTACTGATATAATACAAAAACTTTAAGATCATGACCGCTAAACAAGAGAAGTGTGGGATTGGAAATCAATGAACCAAAACTGATTCATTGGAAATTAGGCCTAACTGATGGACAAAATAATGAAGGGGATGAGCTATTATGCTGCTTATCGCTCCCGTTTGTGGTCCTCAAAAATACTTTGGGGGAATGGACTGCAACAGTGACTTGCTGAAAGGAAGGAATAGAGAGCATACCGATCAGGTTTGCAGATGACACGAAGTTATGGGGGGTTGCCAATACTTTGGAGGATAGAGGTAAAATTCAGAGGGATCTTGATAAATTGGAGAACTTGACTATAGACAACAAAATGAAATTCAACAATGACAAATGTAAGGTGCTACACTTAGGGAAGAAAAATCAAGTGCACGATTACAGAATAGGGGAAAACTGGCCTGGCAGCAGCACTGCTGAAAAAGATCTGGGAGTTTTGGTCGATCGCAACCACAATATGAGTCAGCAATGTGATGCTGTTGCAAAAAAAAAAAGCAAACGCAATTTTAGGTTGCATTAACAGAGGCATAGCATGCAATCAGGGGAAGTGATAGTACTCCTCTACTCGGTGCTGGTTAGGCCTCAGCTGGAGAACTGTGTCCCATTTTGATCAGCAGAAAGGATGTGGCAAAACTGGAAAGGATCCAGAGGTGAGCTACAAAGATGAGGACAGGGATAGAATCAAGCCAGATGAGCAAAGGCTGAAGGAACTGGGTATGTTTAGTTTGGAAAAGAGGAGATTAAGGGGCAATATGATAGCGTCTTCAAATATTTGAAAGGCTGCCACAAAAACGATGGAGAATAGTTGTTCTCTTTTTCCACAGAGGGCACAATAAAGGGCAATGGGTTCAAACTACAGCCCGGTAGATTTGGATTAAATCTCAGGAGAAACTGTAAGAACAGTAGGACAATGGAACAGATTGACTAGGAAGGTTGTGGAAGCTTCTTCTCTGGAGGTTTTCAAAAAGAGGCTGGATATCCGTCTGTCTTGGATGGTTTAGATACAACAAATCCTGCATCTTGGCTGGGGTTAGACTAGATGACCCTTGCGGACCCTTCTAACCCTCTGATTCTATGAAAGTCTCACTTAATACTTTACATTTCAAATGATTTAACTGTTTTTCCTTCTTTTCCATATGTTTAACAAAAGGTTAAAACTATGTTTAATGCTGTGTTTGCCATGGTACTAGATTGGCTGAGGTCTCTCTATATCAAACCCAGATCCTGCTTAAAACTGTTCGATGTTGGCAATTACAGGGGCATGTTAACACCTTTGACTCATTGGGCCAATATATTTCATTTAAATTAATACAATAAAGTCTAGGGGAGAGAGGGTAGTTTGTTTTCCAGCTCCAGTCAGGCTTTTAGTAGTCTGAGATGGCAAACAAGGCTACCAAGTGTGATGATGGTAGTGTAACCAGTGAAAAATCGGGACGGGGGTGGTGGGTAATAGGTGCCTATGCAGGAGTGAAAGTAACTTAAGGGACTTGCGGGTATGCAGGGCGGTTGAGGTCCTGAGCAGGGGGGGGGTGCAGCTCAACCGGAAGGGGTGGCGCCTCTGGCGGAGGGGAGTGGCTGAGACCAGACTTCCCCAGCTAGCCCTTCAGCACAGCCCGGTGGCAATTTAAAGGGCCCAGGCTCCTGGCCGCGATTTAATGGGGCCGGGGCTCCCGCCCACCACTACCGCTACCCTGGGGTTCCGCCAGTGATTTAAAGGGTCCAGGGCTTTTGCTGTGGTAGCGGCATCTGGGAGCCCCGTGCCCTTTAAATCACGGCCGGAGCCCCAAGGTAGCAGTAGCAGTGGCTCAGAGCCCCGGGGCTCTGGCAGTGATTTAAAGGGCCAGGGGCTCTGTCCGCTGCCAGGAGCCCCGGGCCCTTTTAAATTGCCAGCCTTGGGAAACTGTCCCCTGCCAGTACATTCATCTGTGTACCGCCTCTTGTCAGTACCCCTTACCGGCTTACTTTCACCTCTGTGCCTACGTAAGACAAAGCGCCAAATATTGGGACTGTCCCAATAAAATCGGGACAAGGTGGGTTTTTTGCTCTAGACAATTGGATAACCACCTTCTAGGGAATTGACTGAGCCCACTCAGTAACTTTCAGTTCTTACAACTTATCACTAAAAATAATTTATCTAGCACAAATGTCCCGTACTATGTTACAGTGGTCCTTTGCAGACATAGATAATGCCCAGAAAGCATATAGTAAGGAATCATAGAATCATAGATGATTAGGGTTGGAAGAGACCTCAGTAGGTCATCTAGTCCAACCCCCTGCTCAAAACAGAACCAATCCCAACTAAATCATCCCAGTCAGGGCTTTGGCAAGCCGGGCTTTAAAAACCTCTAAGCACCACTCCCTAGGTAACCCATTTCAGTGCTTGACCACCCTCCTAGTGAAATAGTTTTTCTTAATATCCAATCTAGAACCTCCCCCACTGCAACTTGAGACTGTTGTTTCTTGTTCTGTCATCTGCCACCACTGAGAACAGCCTAGCTCCATCCTCTTTGGAACCCCCCTTCAGGTAGTTGAAGTCTGCTATCAAATCCCCTCTCACTCTTCTCTTCTGCAGACACAGACCAACAGTTCAGGTAAAGGCGAGTATGGGGTGATCTTTGTTGAGAACAAGGTAGGAAGGACTGGATGTGAAGTAGGGGCAGAAGTGGCATATGAAGGAGCACTATAGATCCTGGACTTTCTCCTAAGGCACTAAGCAGAATAAGGATAGGAAAAGCATTCCCTAAACCATCGTGCCTCCAATTTCTTTTTCTTCCCTCCTTTGTTCTTATCTTTTTATCGTTCATTGATTTATGTAGCATACTTACAACTTTAAACTGCTCTACAGAATTACTGATGCTGTGACTATAGAAAATATTTCACCTACCTCCCCTACCTCTACTCCTACCCCCATGCAGCTACCTGTATGGTAGGACATAGCGATTAGTTTGGGACAGGAAGTGAAGAAGAACACTAGACAATGAAACTACATAAAGAACGGCAGTAGGCAGATTATGCTTTTCCAAATGGAGTTTTGAACAAGTTACTGGAGTTAACAACTCTACTCTCACAAAATATGCCATAGGGATTTTTAATGAGTGCAAAGAACCAGAGCCTCAGTGTTCAGCCTTATCTGAAAGACAACATCACCTTTGGTAGCATAGTATCCCATAGTAACTATGCTGGGATATCAGTTATGATCTGACTCACAGGGAAGAGTGACTAAATCTACCAATTCACCAGCACTGGTTGTGGAAGCACACTGA